CCCAAAGTTTACGCACTATCTGGAGGGAAAGCAAGTGAAAGAGCCGCAAGTTAAAAGACGTTGACAGCAGCAGCAGCAGCAGCAGCAGACACAGTGGACTAAGAAAGACGACGCAGTTCAAGTTGAGTTGAGTGTGTGTGTGCAACCAGGACGATAAAGTCAACGTCACTCCACTGCCACGGCTAAGGTTGGGACCTACTTTTAGTAGTTACCAGCAACCCAAAACCAAACCAACCCCAGCAAAGTGAAACGGGGTACCTGCTTCTCATCATCCCCGCCAGCGTGGATTCACACTTTCTTCAGTACTACCAGTAAGTTGCTCTCTTGTCTGTCGCTCCATGGGAAGTATGAACCAGGATTGGATCATTATCACAATACCACATACACCCTGCCAACACATACATCCTACTACTGTATTATGATGCTCTCTCCGGTTTTCTGTCGATTTGCTGTTCTTATTTTCTTCCCTGCGAGATTGATCTGTAGACACCCATGACTACCAATGTGGTTTGGTGGTGGGTGTTCGGGTCATCTCAATTTCCCCCTGTTCCTCCTCGATCCTAGTTCCCATGCCTATCTTGTGTCATACGCTTCTCTTATGCTTAACTAAAACTACCATTTGACTGGATCTGCAATTTGCATCAACTGGATTTTCCAGTGGATCTGGTTGATACTCGTTCTGTATTTTATTTCACATTCGTGTTTTGTTCTTACCTTCTATTTTTGTTTCTATTTCTATACTCATTTTTTGTTTTATTTTTGTTTTCCGCCCCATACCCACACTAGCTCATTCTTGCCGTCTCTGTCTTTCAATGTTGCCTCCCCAAGGAGTGTTGAAGCAGGAGATGTGTGCGTGTGGTGTGGTGTGCGTATCTTTCTGCTGCTCAGCCCTTCTTCGGGTTTGGCGAAAGGAATGAAAGATGGAGCCCGCCGATGGCCTCTGCCTCATGGCCGGAGAGATCCACCGGCGGCGGTGCTTCTGGCGGGCTCGTCCTGCTCCTTGGGATCACTAGTTGCACCCACACCCCATCCGTCCTTCCCAATTTCTGCCTTTCCCTCTCTCCCTCTTCCCCCCTCCCTCCTCCCTCCCCATCTGGCACTGCTCGGGCCTACCAGTCTGGGTCGCCCCGCCTGCAGCCCGGTCGCTCTTCATGACGGAGGATGTGTTTTTTCCTCGCTGAGCATGTCCTTCCCTCCGTCTGCCTGGCCGTTTGGCGTTCCCTGCAACCCGCACTATGCCCGGCTCTGGTCTAGTTGGACTGGCCTTTCCGCCCATTCATCGCAGGCCATGGTATTTTTCCTTCCCTTCCCTGGTTTTACCTGATCACCAGGAAGGGGGAGGGGGGAAGAGGACCGCCTCTTTTCTTTTCCCTTTATTTTTCACTGAATTTCTCTCTTGGTTTTTCTTCAAAAAAGAAAAGAAAAAGATAGATAATTATTTTCTTATGTTAATGGTCTTTTCATACTGTTTGCGATGAATTTTTTTTTTTCACTACTTTCTCTCTCTCCAAGACAGTTTCCCTATTTTCTGGAAGGGAAAGGTGAGAGAGAGAGAGGAAAGGGTAAAAAAACGCGATGCTTTTTACAATACCATACATGGGTACCCTGCCAATGTTCTGGGAATTGGGATGATTTTTTGGCGTTATTTTTTTCATTTTTTTATTTTTTTGGCACTGCTGCTCTTCCCCCCATACAACTATTTCATAATTTCCATTGGGATGGGATTGCATTCCTTTTTTTTTTTTGCTCTTATTTTATTTTTCCCAATTTTTTATTTTATTTTATTTTTTGTTCCCTTTTCATTTTATTCATTTTTTTTTTTTCTCTTCACTTTTTTATTTTATTTTATTTTTTTCTCTTCCCTTTTTTTTCTTGTTCCCTAAATTATTATATTCCTGATTTTCCCTTTTCTGATTTATTTCTATCTGCCTCTTTCCCCGTCTCGTTCCACGGATGTTTAAGGTCAACTATTGTCCCCTCTTGTCTTCCGAGTCCACCACACTCCTTCCCTTCAAGCAACTCCCCCATTCACTTTTGAAACATTCCTGGTCTCTACTTGCCTTTGGAAATTCATCGCACTTCGTTTCTCGCATGGCCCGGGTGGCTTTACGTGAAGCTCCAAAGTGGATAAATCGGCTTACATACCTGCTCCGAAACAGGCACCGAACAGCTCATACGGCGTAAGCTGAGCTGGTCTCTCTCTCTCTCTTTCCCTCACTATCGCTTCTCGCGCAGTGGATTGTTGCCCATCCAACAAGTCCCGAATCCCGCATCGTCTTGCGCAGCAGCATCAGCAACAGCCTTTTGGGTTGAAGAGAAACTCCCGGGCCCAGGGTATTTAAACTCCCTGTCAAAACGGGTTTCTCCTTGCGAGCAGAAAGCTTGGGAATTCCCGCAGCTGGTTTGGTTGGAGACACAACCTACCTCGATCCGATCGCTATCCGTGGAACCGGAGCTCCAGTCGACCCAGCTGCACTAGGGCCAGACGCTGCTCTCCAGATCCAACCCTTTCCCTGTGCGAGGATTTGGGAAAAAGGACGGGCCCGTGCTCGCTGTCGATCCGGCTCGCCCAAGTCTGGTAGTAGCCCTTAAACTCAGAAGGAGGGGGGCGCTTTAAACTCGCGCCATCGGCCCTCTTCTACGGTTCAACCATCACCGTCAGCTCTCTCGACTTGTCATTCTCTCACCTTCGCACCAGAGGTTCCCACTCCTCGTCTCTCCTAAAGGTTATTTGCCTCCCCCTCCCTGCTTTTCTGGAGTTTCCCCCCAATTCACTCCCTTCATCCCCCTCCCTCCCTCCCCCCCCCTCCCATTCATTTTTTAGCTCGGGACATCGTCCTGGCTTTTGCTGCAACGGCCGAACAACAAAGAAAGAAATTCTGACAGCCTGTCAGGCGGGATTGTTCTGATCCTATTCACTGCTATTCTTCCTCTGCTTGGTATCGAAACCCCAGTGTCACCCTGGCCAATCCGTCTAGCCGAGTTACTGGGAAACCTTGATCAACGGTGGTGTTAACCTTGATTGATTTTACCTCTTTGCCCCCCTTTCAACTAGGTTCGAACCTACAAACAAACGCAAAACAATGGTCAACGGCACCGCTACGGTGTTGGAGCCCACCTTCACGGGATATGTCGCGACAACACAGGATGCGCTGATTCTCTTCGAGGCCTGTCTGACGGGAGTGCTGCACCATGTGCCCCGTCGGCCTCACGATCGCGAACGTGGTCACCTGGTCCGCAGTGGCAGTGTGTTCATCTACGAGGAGAATTCGTCGGGAATTAAGCGATGGACGGATGGAGTGACCTGGAGTCCCAGTCGAATCCTGGGCAACTTTCTCGTCTACCGCGAACTGGAGAAGCCGTTTCCCCCCGGCGAAAAGAAGCGAGCGATGAAGAAGGCCAATCGACGCCCGGTGCCTTCCACAAGACCTGGGGAGCCGTATCCGCGACAGGACAGCAACGGCGGTTATTCGCCGTCCTCGACACCCGGTCAGTATGCTGGAGACCGACCACACCAGTCGGACGTGGAGAGAGCGTTGGTAGGCTCGCTGGTGGACTCGTATGGCTTCAAAGATTCGGGACTCGTGAAGAAGACGATGAGTGTGACGGTTTCGGGGGTGACACACCACTTGGTCTCGTATTACAGCGTGGAGGACGTGATGCGTGGGCTGCTGAACCCGCCATCGATGGTCGACTCGCTGCGATACATACGGCCTCGTGCAGAGCTGACGCAGAAGCAAAGCTTCCGGGCCCCCATCGATGACTTGGAATCAGGATCTTTAGAGAACCCGAACGACCCCCATGCGATATACGGATACCGACCTCAGTTGGTAGCGCCGCCCGGGTATGCGATTCCCAACCCTCATCCTGAATTTTACATGCACCCCGCGCCGTACGCTGCCACCCATGCTCCGCAGACTGCGGCAATCCCGGGATACTCGATGGCAGGGTCAATTTCGGCGCAG